TACAAAAAATACATAACCCTTTGCCTGAGTATAAGGGGGAGGGGAGAAGAAAATTGCACTCATGCATTTTGCCTTACAATTAATACCATTAAAGCTTCTCACTAAATTCTTTGTTTATCAAACTTTACATTGCCAAGTAGACACACCAGTATACTAAATACCTTAAAGCCTGCCATAGTTAAGATGTGAAATGTAGCTTTACAAAACAAAATTTCGTTTATCTACATTTGCTTGGCTTTGGACCCTGCCTGTTGTCTGCTTAGATTATAATCCCCCATACCAAGAATTAGTTTTATAATTCAAATTAACTTAAAACTCCTCCTATACATAAGTTTAGAAACTTGTATCTTTTGTATGTGACCCAGCCAGGAACAATAATATACAAACAGTATAAGAATACTTATCTTGGACAGAATAACAGCATACATGAAACATGAGAGGTGAACCACTATCAATGGACTGTACTTTAGTCGATACATGCATAAAATATGTTACGTAACGTAATCTACAAATGATTTGCTCCTTCTGACACTCTAAAAAGATAATTTTATATGAAAAGTGAATTACTGGGAAGACTAAAACTGATTCCTGAAGCAGTTGTCAATATGGAAAGAGATATTGCATTTATACCTTTGTCAGGTTTTGGAAGTTGCTAGCAGTGTGGTCTGTTATCCTTCCACATGAATGAGCCATGACAGTCATAGCGATGAACAAGCACAGTAGTGGTTAGTTGAACTTGTAATCACAAATGTCACTGGTTCACCATCTTATGTGCAACTTCTAAAACTTATTTAAAAGTTTCTTACATGCATATAATATGTCTTTTAATCTTATTTAAAAGCTCTAGTATACTGCACTACATGTTTCGACTGATATTGGTTATCATCAGGTATTTAAGAATTTTTGGTGGAAACTGCTGTGCCTCCATTTTTTAATTCTAATATTTGATGTGTAGTCCAGTCTATGCAATCATGTATTTTATGGTGCTGGGTGTGTCTTCCTGTTCTGTTGTGTCTATGACTCGTAGTCTAGACATCCAGTTGTGTTCTGTGTCTATGACTCTTAGTCTAGACACCCAGTACCATAAAACATAGATGGGGCAACACATCGAATATTAGATTACAAAACAGTACCACAGCAGTTTCCCCCAACAATTTTTATATACCTGATGATGATCAATGTCAGTCAAAACATGTAGTGCAATATACTAAAGCTCTCAAGTAAGGTTAAAAGATGCATAATGTGCATATAAGAAACTTTTACGTAAGTTTCTGAAGGACATGTTGCATTAAGATAGTTAACCAGTGATATTTGTGATATGCAACAGGATGCCATAGTACAATATTGTAATCACCTTTCAGCATCCAAAATCTGTCACCCACCAATTCACTATGTCTCCTACGAAGGATCCCACATATAAACTGAAGCGAAAATGTGTTGTTTCTATTTTGAAACAGAAAATGGAAATATCAGAAGACNATACAACCTGGATAATGGGGAGTTTATGCTGTAACATATCAGTTATTTTCAGAATCCTTTAAAATTCATATCCACACCAAACATAAAAAAACTGGCACATGTAAGGCATAGTATGAAGACAAAATTGTGTTTTTCTGGTATCTTCATATCTAAAACTGATGCATAATATCAAGGCATCCATGAATTGATTTCTCCAAATGTTTACCTGTTTTAATAAGATCTTACTTGTATATTTTAATAATGCAAATACTGGAATATAAATAAAACTCTCTTTTAAAGATGTATAAGTAAATAAATATCTGACCTATCAAACTACAAAAAAAGACATATGTAATAATTAATTCCTCATCAGTATCATACAACCATATAATGTTATAAAATTTATGCCATAACATAAAGGGGTAGAGATGAAAAATGCATATCTGACCACTGTTATCCAGTGATAATAAGGAATGTGTTCACTGAAAAAGCTGAAGAATAAAACTGGCATTACAGTAATGCATATTTCAAAGCAGTGATACTCATGTTAATGGAAATGTTTACTGACATAGTAACAGGCACACATGAGGTCCAAAATCCAGCCAATGAAAAGAAAGGTTTTTTAGCTCAACTAATGCATACCTATACATATACATTTTACAACACATTACATTACAATATAAAACACGTCATCACATTAATATACTATACTATTTTATGAGTCCTCTCTAGTTTTGTGTGAACATCTTTCTAACACCATTTAAATACCTGCTTGTTTCATTATCTTTACTTTTAACATACATTTTTTTTGTTATTTCCAGGACATTTGTTTTAACTCTCTGATGAACATATAAAAATATTCATTATTATAATATATCTTACAAAAACTCATCTTTGCCTTAGAAATTTTTAACTTCATTTGTACAAGGCACCAATATACACATTTATATAGAAATATTTGTATAAAAAAATCATTATGACTGTGTGCTATCTTCTGGAGTCATAGTACAAAGCATTCTTCATACTTAAGAAGGACTGCCTCAAGTCAAGGCAAAAGAAAGCCAAATTCTCATAAGCAGCATATGCTGATTTTACTTTAAATTTTATCAGTAGCCATTTTAAAAACAGAATTCATGAAAATTCATACACATCACTTCAATTTCATGATAATACAAAACAACATGACAGTCCGTACAGACCAAAGAACAAAGGTGGTTGGAGAAAATAAGTTGGAATTAAATATAAAAAGAACGTCATGAATCAATTTAATGTAGTCTGTTGGCCTAACTTTCTTTTGCTTTAACATAATGTGTTATCAAGACTTCTTCATATTGTAATAAGCTACCTGAAATAAAATATAAATTCATTCTAGATGGACCTTCTCAATATTTTTCCTTTAATCATAAATCTGTTTGTTAGAGGAATGAGTAGACATCATATAAACCAGAAGCAGGATGCACCAAAAGTTCATGTTGTACACCCAATAATTCCTTATGCTACTTTCATGTTACTTTGTTCCTCCATGTATTAATTTTCGTACACAATGAATCAGCATTTCTGGAAATCTCTCCAAGATGCCCAAAGAGTATAATAATATTACTATGATTTTCCATATCATATGAATGTCACAATTATTGATACCATTAACTCTTCTCTGTTCATGATTCATAGTAATGGTATCCTATATTATAATACTTCATATAATGTCAAGACATTCACAGTCTATCATACATGTACAATCACCCAGTATCCTAGCTGCCAAACATTTCTCTTGCACAAGGAAAATTTATATAACAGTTACTATAAAGTAGGAAGCATCATCAGTATTTCCTTTTACAAACACTGAGACATGGCTATCAAACTTCTAGCAGTTACAGCTTACACATCCTAAATTCTCATGAAAAAGACAACTTTCTAACTATATGCAACTCAAAGTAGAAAGCTCTAAATGTGTGTAGGTATTCATATGGGCTACTGCAATAACATGAAATATCATCAGCAGTGGCCAGATTTATGCAGAAGTTGAAAATGCATGTTGCCATGCCACAGGGATGGCGAGAGTTAAAAAGTATTTTTTGGTGTCTGCATCTACAGTATACTTCTGATTATCCATGCAAAGATTATTTGGTCTGTGGCTTATCAGTGTATCTTGAGGACAGTTCACAACGTTCTGGAGTATCATCTGATTTCACTTGGGCTATCTGCCTGTGTATATGAAACTACCAAAGAATCACTTGTCAGATTTTCATAATACAGTATTCGATCTGAGATAATTTTTATGAAGAACTGATAAATGACTTCAGTTTTCACTTAGAGTGGACAATTTTAATGACCACTTTACATAAAGACCTACACACATTTCTGCATGTATCATGTGGTATATTGCTAAGTATTTATCATAATTGAAATTCTTCATATAAAAAAGCATAGAGAAAAATTAACATGTTGAATGCTATGAATTTAACAATAACCACGGTTTTTCAGTCATCCAGAAACATGGAATATCAGTAGTATACTACAAATTCCCTGCTCATTCATCTGTATGCATGCAATTCAAGAACTGCTGAACAGATTTGCATAAAGTTTGATATTAGGGAATTCAACTACAATTTGTCAACCCATTTGGATTTAAGTAAAAGATCAGACAACAATAACAGATACTTTATATGGAAACCTACATGCATTTCTGTGTGTACCTCAAGCTTAACAAACATGTAAGTCACAAAATATTCATCAGAGCAAAAAATGCTTGGACAGAAAGTTTCTGAGAAAAATAAACATATATTTTAAGAGCAACGCATTATTTGTACAAAACTCATGGTTTCTGAAATAATTAAACATATTGAATGAACGTGCTGGAATTGTTCACAAGCTAATTGATGCTCAGAAAATCCAAAAATTCACCAGATTTTATGGAACCTGAAGGTCTGATTAAATACTGTATCAAAGCACTCAACATAACATACTCATTAATATTTCACAGACAGCCTACATTCTTTGGTCTTAAAATCTTCAGGCTGAAGTCCTAATTACACATGCATTTTCAAATATATTACCTCTATTATCATGTCATATATGAACCTCCTCGTTGGTGTCTCCACCTTATCGTGGTGAGGGGGTTTGAGTATGCCAAGAACCCTGAGAGCTATACCAGTAGTAGCGTAGCTACTGGCAGGGCCTCCCTTGCTGGACAGGTCAAAGGGTAGGCATCAGATGAAGAGAGACACCAAAAACCAAAAACTGATGCCAGAAGCAGTGTCATCAGCAGAGACTTGAAGCACAGAGCAAATGAGGCTTGAGGTGGTTCAAGTTCGTACAGCAACAGGCGTGACCAGAGTGGTTTGAACGACTGTTGTACTGCGATGTGGAAAGCAAATGGAAAAACTACCACATTATCACTTTTCCTGGATAGTCTCTTTCCAAAAACAGAGATACCATGTATGCGACCAGAAGACAAGGAAAAAGACGTAAGAAGATGCTGGATGACCTCGGGGACAGAAGAGGATATTCTCATTTGAAGGAGAAAGCTCTAGATCGCATTAAGTGGAGGAACTGTTTTGGAAGAGACTGTGGACCTGTCATATGACAAATTACTGATGAAATGAAATATGAATGAAAGTGTAAAAGTCATGTTTGAAGTAATTGCCATTATTCTGTTACCATTTTAGGCAGTACTGTAGCATGAAGGTGTTGTTTTCACACCAAAACATGTAGCCTACTAGTGAACTATACACATTGTGTTGACTGCAGAGATTTGATTCATCTAAAAGTAAAGCAGGATGCAACAATTTAAGAATAGTTGCACTTGAGATTCTCATAGTAGTGATTATGAAGAGCACAATCTTCTGGGATGTAATGCTTTGTAGCCCAGCAGAAATTCACCAACGTTCCTCAGAAACATTCGTGAGCTTACACTGGAACACATGGCATAACATTCAAGCAGAAAGTAATCTTAATTTAAGAGAAGGTTCTTTATCATGCTCATGATTTGTTGGCGGACCCCCTCGTGTCTGATGAATCCACTCCACATTTCTTGTTCCTGACATACTGGAAAGTATCATGGCTCCAAGCAGTTTCAGTTTCCATACCAAAAATATTATTTTTTGGTACTCAGTTGGTACACATACACCAATAACCTAACTGTACAAGGTACAGAAAATGAGGTATGTCAGAAACAAAGGATTGCATTATTAGTAGAAGCCACAATGTATAAGAAAATAGTGGAAATATCCAAATTACCGTGACTGGGAGGTGAAAGATGCATGAATTGTATGACTGTGTACAAACTTGATGTTGTTTAAACCATATTCAAGATCATGCAGTATACAGAATTTCAAAAAAGATGGAAGCCAATATGTCATCACATCACATATCAAATAAAATCAGTAAAATATGCTATATACAAACTAGCATAAAAGTATTCACACATTTAATAACAGGCTTGCTTCTGAAGTTCATGGTTTCAATTATGCCCATTCCAATACTGAAGCTACCTTCAAAAATTTAATTTACTCCCACTGAGGATTGATTGTGGATGGATAGATCACAGGTTCACAAAATAAGGATGTATCAACTGTAGCAGGTATTTAAAGCTGAAGGAAATAAGGGGATGACTCTTTGTTGAACTCAAAAAAAAAAAAATGGACTGGGGAGAAAGCAGCCATGACCCATGTCAAGTACTGTCCCAACAACTGCCTGAAGTGACTACCATAGCAAATCTTAATCAGGGTTGATCATGTTCTGGCTGAATCTGGCATCTCATGAATATAAGTAGTTTGCTGATTAAGGCAATTTGCTCTTAAGAACTGACCATCACAGCACTGACAGCTCAGTCTGGACTGGACAGCCAGGTATTTATTTCCAATAGGAAAACAGAAATTTTCTCATAACACCCTGCTCAGGGACCGCCCAGCCTTGAGTGCCATAAGGACCAGGGACTCTCCCTCTTGGAAGTAAAAGCTGCTTCACTATGAAAGCTATTATTCATTTTCATCTAGTGCTCAGGTTAAGAATACTTAAATTCTATATCAGGGTGTACAAGATATGGCACTTTGGCACAGAGAAATTCTGAATGGCTACGATGAGTTTGTACAATAAGAAGAGAGGGAAAATGGTTTTCTGCTTTGGTAATACAAATTTAACTGTATTAAGTATGACACAATACGATTACATGCACAAACACACACGCACACAAATGGACAAATGATTTCACTTCACTTCCAAAATTTTTACTAGACTTATTACACCTCCCTCTAATGCTTACTATAAACGTTCCATACATACTTCAAACTGCATTGTGTGTGATAGCTGGATGTTAAACCACAGACAAAAGTACTGTTAAGAGCCATCTGTTACGAGAAAAACTTTAGAGCAATCAGAAACTGTGATAGATAAAGTTCTTCAATAATAACATTTCTTATGAAAGTGCAGGACATTTGAAGAAAATGAAAATCCTCGATACAGTCTCATATATAATGTGCAATGCAGATGCTGTGATGGCTTTGGCTTCCAAGGAAAGATAAATTTTGTAATGGAACATTAACTGATGAAGATTCTATAGTTTAAAATAATCAATTCAAATTTTTGTTATGCTATTACTCTGAAGAAAAAAGTATATGGGATATAAGTTTACCTTGAATTCTCATCTCTAAAGCTGAGCTAGACTAGTTGTCACTGCTTTGAGTCCCATGTTGTTCAATTGTCTCATGACATGATGAGGTTATTTTGCAACAAACATGATAAAAAAAATCCACTACCAAATAAAAATGTAGTACAATATGAGAAATAGTATGGTATAACAATACTCTCATTCTAAGAAAGAATTTCATGGTTGCAAATTAAAATTTCTCTATAGCTAATAATTTGAAGTGAGTTCCCACCCCCCCATCACTTTTATTATGGTAGAGAGATTCGAACCATATGTTCTGGAAAATGTTATATGGAGGAAATTCAAGGGAGGGAAAAGACCCGTTTGTAACCTAATGTGTATCTGATATTGTACCTTAGATGAATATCAAAGATTCAGCTTAGTGAAACTGCTCTTTCAAGCACTTAAAAACAAGTCTTGACACACAAGATTTCAGATTAAATTTTGAAACATAATGATGAAATTCACTTAAACATCCAAATACCAAACTAATTACAACACAACCAGAAAACCCTGAGTATTTAGGCAAGGAAAACAGCGTTCAAATAAAACTATAATTATATACAAACATAAAACTGCATAGAAAGTATACTTCACTACTATTGAGAGATCATTCAGTAAGATACATACATCACTGGAAGGCTAAGGAGAGTATTTTGCCCTGATCAGGGCAGAACTTAAACCTGGTAAGTCTTTTAAAACAAATACAAAGCAACATAAAAAGCTTGAATTCCCTAATACATGCGATTTCACTAAATCAAGCATAATTATTGTACTGAGATATTAGAAAAACCTCATAAAACTCACATTACGCTCTATAAACAATTGCTGATTATCACAGAATATTACATCTATTTATTTTTGTGGGCTAGGGGAGCAAACCCTGTTGCTATACTTCTGAAAGTATAATTATTTAAAGATATTTTGTAGCTGCCACAAATAAAGAAGGGATGCCACAGACAGGACATATGAACACCCCAACCCCACAAAAATTGACATCACTGCTGGACAACCCCATCCACCTAAACTACAGCTAGAACACTGTTAGAATATCTTGTATTTGTGTGGCTTAAAATCTTAAAACAACAGAAAAAAAAACCAACAACAAAAGAAAGATAAACTGCTGTTACTGGAATATGTGGCAGAAAGAATGTTCATTAAAATGCCACACTCAAGACTTGGCAGAGAAGGTAAACAATTAATAACACAGTAGAATTCATACAATCAGCGGAGAACAACAGAATTCCTTATACAGGAATAAAGTAATGGTGACCTGTACAGTTCCGTATGTGCCCCATTTAAATCATGTCTAGAATATTCAAAATGAGTTTGTACATACATCATACCAGAGAACAGGGAGGTGGTAGTGAGAGGCGAGATTCCAAAAGGAACAGAACCTCTTACTTAGAGATTTTTTTTTTTGCCTTTACCATTCAAAATTACACAGCTGCCAAAAGAGTAACATTTTTGGACCGACAATTCCAGTAGCACAATAATTTATTTTTATGTCAAGAAAATAACTTATTTGTTATCTCGCATACTACATATCTGTTTAATGCTCCTTTAACATCAGTTTAAATATCAATAAACAGCATTTAAAAGAAGATACTTCATAGATGTAATGCTTGAAAAGAAAAAAGAAGAATTATGTAATTTATATAATGGATTCGTGTTTAAAAGCACAAATGCAATGTTTGTGCATTAAGAACACTGTACCTCCCATAAACCAGAACAAAAAGAAGTTTTGCCCAGCACACTTATTGTGGTACTGAAATGGAACATTTTCAGATTCTGTTGGTGTCAGCTGATTGTATAGAAACTCTCCCTCTTGATCTACATATAGTAGAAACACCCATGCTTTAGTTGCATCAACTCACTAAAATATAAATGTAAGTCTTACTGAACTCTGCAGTACAAACTTATGAGTGCTAAGATGTTGAGTGTTTGTTCAGTTCTTGATGATTTTTTAAAGTTTTCCTTTGGCTTTTTGTCTTCAGACTGTCTGCAAAAATAGTCTCTGTAGATTTCTCCTCATGTTTTTTGCCCACTCCATTGGAAGGACTATTTGAAAAGACCGGATCTCTTGAAGTGGGGTGTAATTTGTTTTTGATGTTTGTCTGCTGTGGCTTGGTAGATGAATGTTGAATTTCTTGAGGTTTAGAGAACTGATGTTCAGGGATATCTTCTCTTGTAGGGACTGTGTTACTTTCTTTAGTATAATCACTCTGTACAGATGATGCTTGTAGAGTACCTGTAAATCTTGTCTCAGATGGTTTCTGCTTGTGTAATCTGTCAGTGAATGGCAAAGCTTGTTCATCCACAACATCAGAATCTTCATCTTTTTCTACAAAATATGTTTTCCTGAGAGATGCTTTATGGTTATGGCTATGTACATCTCCTCCAAACTCTTCAGGTCCCTGAAGATCTGCACCAAATTCATCATCAAAGTCCCCTCCCAAATTATTATCATCAAAATTCTCTTCATAGTGCTGAAAGTCATGTGCATCTCCAAAATCTTCAAATTCCTTTCCCTCTTCTGATGAACGAGAAATCTGAAGTTTGCTAATGCGTGACCGCACAACGTTGAGATGTCTCAGGACATATTCTTCATTTGGAGCAAGTCTGTAAGCATGAGTCAGGCATGCTTCGGCTCGCAATAGGTTTCCTCTCTCCACATAAACCACACAGAGGTTATGCAGGCCCTGAATATTTTCAGGGTCAAGTTGTAGAATACGCTTGTAGCACTGTAAATAAAATATGTATTAACTGACATGAGAGCCAATTTAATGGCAAAGAAAGGCAGCAACAGCAACATTAAAAAAGTAATAATAATTTAATTCCAATTCTTCACAAAGGCCTAATTATCATAGAATAAAAGGAAAAGGTATTATCACATTGGTAGATTGTAACATTTGAAGACATTCTAACTCTAACTTTGTGTGTTTTGCTTTATGCTATGTGCAACTTCTTTATTTAGATGTCCTTGCACTGCACGTGTCTGCCTTATGGTTTTGTCTGGGTTGTTGGCTGTGGCTGTCTTGAGTGTTCTTGCTGCAGCAGGAGTTTTTGTGTTGTGGTCCCCACAAACCAAAGAAAACCATAAGATAAACACTTGCATCTCAAGGACACCAAAATAAAAACAGATGTTTAACTCGCATAACCAGATGTAATCTGAGGCAACTACATAAGAGAAACAAAGCAGCATTACAGTGAGCAGCAGATTCCTTAATCACAACTTATACGCCTGAAGATGGCTGGTTAAGCCAAAACATGTAGTGTTAGAGAACAGAAATGATGAATGAATAGTCACTAAAGTTGCCCATAGATGGCATAAGGCAAAACACGAAGTCACACAGCCTATTCCTCTGAAACATTGCAATCTGCCTACAAGGTTACAGGTTTAATAACCCAGAAGATCACAATCTGAACACTGCCATGGAAATCACACAGCTTATAAACCTATAATCCTATGATAAAGTCAGTCCACTCTACGAACTAGGGTATGTCACATCTTGTGTAGTCAACTTTATGGGGAGGGAAAGAATTCAGTGTAAGCAATTTGAATTTCTCCCTGGTGTATGAATGTTGGAAGCAAGTTGAAATAAAGTCGGGTAATTTTTTAATGATAACATAATAGTCTAAGTCACTAAGTGAAGACAATGGACCCCTGTCCCCAAGGTACACAGAGTATGACAGAAAACACATTGGAATAAACCTGGAAGGTTTATCAAATATCAAAATAATGTCAGAAGATCTGTAAAGAGCAGCAGCCTCTTAGACTTACCACAGGACAAATAAAATGTCATGCTGAGTGGTTTGTAGTTCTGCTTTGCATTTGGGAGGTCTTCAGTTTAAATTTCACACATGAGTTTAGCTATACTGAGGTCTTTTGTGACTTTCCTCACACTTTCCAAGTAAATGTAACGGTAGATAGTATGTTAAAACAGGCTTCGACCATTTGCCTCTACATCCTGTTAATCACAGCATTCACAAATCAGCCTAATATTCAATATTATATACCCTTAGCAGCTGAAAATCATCACAGTAGTACTTCCTGAGCATTTAAGCAATGGTATGAAGTATAGTGGGGAGCTGGGATACATCAGTTGGCACAGTGATGGCCTACAGGATGGATGACCAGGGTTCGATTCCTGGTAGGGGCAAGAGATTTTTCTCTTCTCATCTGTATCCAGACAAGCTCTGAGGCCATCCAAGCCTTCCATTTAATGAGTACCAGGGGCTCATTCCTGGAGGTAAAGCAGCCAGGGAGTGAAGCTGACCACTTACCTCCATCTAGTGACAAGGTCAAGAATGGTGGAGCTATGCCTCTATTCCCCCATATGTCTTCATGACATAGTGCTTAATTAAACAACCATAGAGACAACTTTACCTTTACCGTATGAAGGACAGGGAATGGCTGTGACCATCATTGATTACCTAGAAGAATTACAGTGGGGATTGTGACCCTTAGGAAGGAACATAACCACAAAGTTTGATGCATGAAACGTTAGACTTACATTCTCAGCTGCATCCAGATCTTTAATGTTGTTTATGTAGATGTCGCCAAGTAAAATTAGTCCCTTGACATGGTCAGGGTGGAGTTTGACCAATTGATTTAGAAATGGAGCTGCTTCCAGTGGACGATGATCATCTGCCAGTAGCAGTGCTAAGTTGAACAGGGCACTACGGAAGTCTTCTTTCATTTGAATTGCACGTCTAAACCAGTGTTCTGCCCCTGCAATATCCTGGTCATCCATTGCCAACATACCCAAGTTGAAGTGAACTCTCTCATTGGTTGCATCCTAGAACAAACATGAAAGAATATTCAATACATTTTGTTCTGATTTTATTTTTGTCTTGTTACTGGAACTTGAGAGATGCGGACTGGCTCTTGATATACATTTTTGCGGCCTCAAGCATAGTGAATACATGATAGGTTTTTATCCATAAAGATTGGTTGAGTCATTCAAAATGCATCCCGACAATATGAACAGAGAGGGGGGGGGGTTTTGTCTCAGCAAGTCATGGAAGCCTCTCATCTGTTCCCTAAACCTCACCCCAGGACATGACGCCAGATCCCTTCCTTTCCTGCTTTCATATAGCTGAGATTATTTCCGACATTAGTCTGCTTGCACCTGCTCTCACAGTTTCTTCACCTGCAGATTTTCTTATTTTTCCTTCTACCCTGAAGATGGAGGCGATACATTCCTCTGAAACGTCGGTTAACACCACATCTACACGGCGCCACATTCCAGAAGACTGCTTTCTTCATAGTCACCGCCGTGAAAACATCAAATCTTACACAATAAAAATAACTGTTTGTGAGGCAGGAAAAACTCTCCCTTTTTATTTGTAAACATCACTAACAATTTTAAACTACAAGACCACAGCAATCTTTTTATTGTATCTCATAAACTTCCTCATTATGGAATATCCTAAATTCACTTCACTTCTTGGGTAAAAATACTTTCCTGAACACTTTACTTATAAGCATATTTTACAAACATACAAAATGAATGGCAAAATTATTTTTATATACACACCTCTACAGCTTGTAGGCACTAGATATGTCAATAACGGAATGCGAAATTAATTACAATACACATTTTTCTCCTTATTTGATTATGATCATTTTTACTGTACAGAGCTCAACCTTCTGGGTTATAAAGCCATGCAATGTGCTGAACAGACTAAGAACCATCTTCTGGATGTGAAGCTGTGTCACCTGGTAGAAATCCACTGATGTTTCAGAGGTACAAACTTCCTCCATCTTCAGAGATAAAGAATAAGCCTAGCAAGAAGTGTTGGTGGACTTCTGCAAGACTACATGGTGCCATATCTCATCAGACAGTACTTGTTACAGTAACCACTGTGTGAGTCCCCAATCCAACAAGTCTGACTTTATTAGCATCACTGACCTTCCTCAGCAGTTTTAGCAGTCTTTCTCTGGCCACTTTACGAAGTTCTGCACGTCCCAATTCTTGCAGTAGTATGGCAGAATTCAGTAAGGCTTGTTCATGTTCTGGATCAAATTCAAGTGCTTTATCCAAGTAGGCAAGAGCCTGTGAAGCTTTCCCTTGCTCCAAGAAAACCACACCTAACTGAAATCAGCAAATCAATACCTCACACTTTTTCACTGCAATTTCCATGTATCCACGAATCAGTTCAAGTATGGATATAGAAGTACCTAGAAACGGCAGGTACATCATATAATTAAGGGCTAGGAATCATAAAGTACCAACAAAATGTACATGTGCAATATACAAGACAAATACTGAGGTATGAGGCCTCGTCATAAGAGTAGCAAGATTGGATTCAAGAGGGATAAGATGTTAAACCTCTTTAAATTAGGTTCTTTCAGCATGTATTCATTTTGTCTGCTTAAATTTTAATCTTCTGAGCTATTGGGTCTATGTGCATATCTATCTTTGTCTTATCTGTGATTTTAAAGGCCAAGAAACTATGCACTGTCTTTTATTTTCTTGTATTTATAGTTGTCCCTTTTTTAGAACTTGCTTTTATAGTTTTAGTTGGACCCTGATTTTACTGGCTCTGGCCATTACATTATGCAACACTATACATACAAGGCCTCGTGCATGTGATGTCTTAAACTTCTGTCTTAACTTCCAAAGATGGTGTATGTTGTGTTTGGTTTATACATTCTGTCATATTTGTACTGGTGTCCAAACACAGGGACTAACTCTATTGATTTGGCCCAATTGAGAAGTCTTTTTGCATACAGACAATGATAAAAGAGACAGCATCCTGTAAAATAATAACATCCTACAAATGCAGTAGTCAAAATTAAAAAAAGATATTAAATTTCTGATGGGTGTCCAGTTGAATATAAAATCAAATGCGGATGTAAAAGGACTACATATTTAAGTAAAATGCAGAAACAGATAACCTATGACACAAATGGTTGAATCACATTGAAAGAGTATATGAAATGAATACTGAAGTATAACTTAGCATTTATTCCAGTATTAATAATGCAACTTTCATAACATGCCAACGGCTGCAGTTACCAAACTGTCATGCGTCACTCACTTAGTTTGCTATTCATACAAGGGTGAGTTAGTAAATAGGTCACAAATGTGAGTAAAACAGCAATAATGGATGTAATAGGTTTTCTACATGTATCACTAGGTAGCAGCACAGTCCAGCTTCCAGGTAGCAGACACATATGAACATGTTCAGAAGCTTGTTTCAGTAGTCAAAATGGTGGCAGTTTGAGAGGAGTGTATTACTGAAGGCCAGTGTTCTGCTGTGCATTTTTTGTGGGCAACAGGACTCCTTGCAAAGGATATTCATAAAGAAATGTTTTCTGTTTATGGTGGGAAGCGTTTGTTATGTAAAGCAGTTTACAATTGGGTTGAGAATTTATCTCATGGATGTTCAAAAGTCACAGATGATGAAATGAAGATGTGGAAGTGGCTGAGACAACAGTCAAAAGGCTTCTATGCTGCAGGTTTCAAAGCACTGGTAGAGTGATGGGGCAAACATATCAATGTTGGTGGAGGATATGTCAAGAAATAAAAGTTTCTTCATGCTCGAATATCAGATGTTTTGTTTTATATGCATTTGTGACTTATTTACTAACTCTCACTTGTACAACATACTATTTCAGCCTTGCATGGCCATTTGCATCTTATATTGCAAGTTGTTCTACTGTATTCACTTCCTGCTAAAAGAGACACCAATTACAGTTAAATAAAAAGAAGCAGTTTAAAACTGCCATGGAAAGTAATACATGCCCCTGATGTTCTCCACTTACCAACCATGAACATCTCACTGGCAACATCATAACTGTACCAAAATCTATAAATTATGACCGTTCCGTCACTGTCAAAAACACCAACACATAAAAGATACCAAACAAAGACTACAATTATTATTCATGGAAAATTTAAACATATTGTAACGTGTCTGGAACCCAGAAGAGTCACTTCTGTGGAAACGCCAGAATAGACCGTTGCATAATAAACAACAATTGCTCTACTGTAGTTCTAACAGGAATCTCCACGGATACGACGAATATGCAAAGCGTTCCCACAGAGACAATGCGATAACAATGGGTTATTGCGTAGGAAACGCGGAGCCAACAAAGCGACGTTTCCACTGCTATAACAGAGGATTCATTTGCCTAGCAGCGGCCAAGGTTATAAAAGCCCAGCTTCGACGAGAAGTCTTCAGTCTCGGATCAGCCATCGGAGAAGAAAGTCCCGGAATAGCCGTCTAAGGGATCGGTCTTGGGATAACCGCCAGAGGAGATAGTCCAGCATCGCCGAGATATTGTGAGCAGTGACTGTAACACTGCAAGTTGTGATGATTGTAAAGTGTGTGTAAGGTGAGCGAAAGGAATAAACTCGCTATACAAAAAGACGGCGTGAACTTATTTGTAGCGTGACACACAACACACGCTACATTGGTGTCAGAAGTGGGATAAGTAGGATTGAACTACATGCGTGACTGACAAGATCTGAACTCAAAACACGCTACATTGGTGTCAGAAGTGACTTCGAACTTTAACACGCGTCCTACAAAAAAAAAACAAGAAATGGAAATGCAGCAGATGTTGGAGCTTCTGCTGAAGAAAATGACAGCCATGGAAGAAAAGGCCGACGCCCGACATAAAGAAATGAGAGCCGACTCGAAAGCCTGGCGAGAAGAAATGGCCACAGAAAGAGAAGCCTTCCAAGCAGAAACGAGAGCCATCCAAGCAAGGACGGCCGCCATGCGAGCCAAGAGGTTGAAAGCCGATATGAACTCCTGGCAGGAAGAGACGACAGCCTGCCAAGATGTAGTGGAGCCAGTCTCAGTGAACATGAAACCTGAGGCGACGCATCGAGAGGTCCCCGCGGAAGACGCCACGAGAATACCGGTCGGAGAACCGAAGAAACGGCGTAGGGACCAGAAACTGGCAGCGGAGCGCCGCCGCTGGAAAGCAAAGAATTCAACGTGGGCAATTGGCGAACCCCAGAAGGAATTGGCCATCACAAGCAGGAAGACATCCCGTCGCGCGACAGTGGCACGACGTTGGAGAAACGACTCCAAGAGTGAAGCTCCCAAGGGAAAATTTGGATGCCAGTGGAAAGAAGTGGCCCCCACCGGAATAATGACTACACGCTGTGCAGGACACAGGCGTATGGGCCGAAATGCAGACACTGTGGAACAAGTAACCTGGAAGATATCCCATCATGCGACAGTGGCACGACGTTGGAGAAAAGACTTCAAGAAGGAAGTTCCCAAGGGAACCTTCAGATGCCGGAGAAAGGACTTGGCGCCACGACCCCATACCGGCAATTGGCGGGAAGAACACAAGGAACGACGTCAGCAAGTTCAAACCACACTTCAGATGCTGTTACGTCAAGATAAGAAACACCTGAGGAAGTTAAGGACCAAGAATTGGATCTTATGGAGGGGTCGACCCCCTCCAAAATGGAAAAAGGGTAACAGCCCTTATGGGAGGAACCAGTAAAGTACCGGCCTCCCCAACAAGGATGCATGAAGAATGAAAGTGAAGAATGAATGTGAGACAACGAGTTCAACAAATCCTCGGCTACGGGAGTGCTCGGGGGCGAGCACCACTGAAGAGAGGGGCGGATGCGGTTGGACGGACACCACACAAAGATGCCGGCAGACACCAAGGCCGAATGCAGGCGTTGCCAACAGAACACCGCGAATCGAAACCGAGGGAGAACCTTTAGGCTGTTCGGGGACGAACAACCTTTAGAAGGGAGCAATGTAACGTGTCTGGAACCCAGAAGAGTCACTTCTGTGGAAACGCCAGAATAGACCGTTGCATAATAAACAACAAATGCTCTACTGTAGTTCTAACAGGAATCTCCACGGATACGACGAATACACAAAGCGTTCCCACAGAGACAACGCGATAACAATGGGTTATTGCGTAGGAAACGCGGAGCCAACAAAGCGATGTTTCCACTGCTATAACAGAGGATTCATTTGCCTAGCAGCGGCCAAGGTTATAAAAACCCAGCTTCGATGAGAAGTCTTCAGTCTCGGATCAGCCATCGGAAAAGAAAGTCCCGGAATAGCCGTCTAAGGGATCAGTCTTGGGATAACCGCCAGAGGAGATAGTCCAGCATCGCCGAGATATTGTGAGCAGTGACTGTAACACTGCAAGTTGTGATGATTGTAAAGTGTGTGTAAGGCGAGCGAAAGGAATAAACTCGCTATACAAAAAGACGGCGTGAACTTATTTGTAGCGTGACACACAAAACACGCTACAATATTTTTAACTATTTTTTTAACTTTCTTAACCCTCAAGTTTCAGTTAAGTTTAACTGATCCCTCCCTCAATAGGGAGTGAATACAATGTAAGATATATCTGAGGATGGCTTAAACATGTTGCACGAAGAGCGAAGCGAGTGAAATATGACAGTGTGGTAATAACAACACCGACATCAAAACATTACAAAAGTTTCATTAATAAGACTGAAAGTAAACACTAAATAATTAATGAATTAATGCAACAGGATGCTGAAATATAATATTAAGTACAGGGCTAAAAGTAAATTAAATTTATAAAGATCCCAAAATGGTGAACTATCAGCTACCAAATATGGACAGCTCAATGGACCAATCTCATGGTGCTGAAAATGAATCAGAATTATATACCTGAAACTGTAAAGCAAAATACAACACGGGAACCTCAGATGGATGGACTCTGGTGGGCTATATACAAGCTTCCACAGTGACAGACAATTAACATGAATGTCAGGATGTTGTACTATGCAGCAATATGCTAAATGTACTCACATTATAATATATGTCAGGATTGTTACTGTCATAGAAAAGTGCTCTCTCGTAGACCTCCTGAGCCTCCTTGGTACGGTTCAATTTTAGCAGAATGTCTCCTCGGTTAATGTAGGCCTGGGTGTAGTCAGCACGCATGCTGATAGCTTGTCGATACAGCATGTCGGCTTCCTCTAGTCGTGTTTCATTACGGGCAATCAGATTTGCCAGGTTGAGGAACACGTTCAAGTGATTGGGAGCAATGCGGGCTTGGTAAGACTCGCCTGGTTTCGCTTTTGGAAGCAGTGATTTTGCCTGTGTAAACGAGAAACAATTACAATTTGCTATGTTTACTTCTCTTATGTCACCCTCTCTGATTCTGCAAAGGAAATATACAGACTTTTCATTACTGAATTTTGTTGTCCCTCTAACTTTGTCAAGGTGCTCTGTTCAGATTTCATCACTGTCTGCATTACTTTAAGCCTGCTCCTTTGAATGCAGTACAGTGCAACCCCTGCTTTATTTGTGGAGCAACAGTCTGGACACTTGACCTTTAATGTCCGAATGTCACATATATGGGTCGCAAGCAGGAACCAGAGTTGGCCGAATGACCTGTATATAGGTTGCAGGACACATGCCCTCTTTGGGAGTGCTGGCAGTTTGACCTTGGGTTGGAAACCAAAACAAACCTATGTGAGGTCATGTCAGTGGTTCATTCCTTAGCTCTGAACAAAGAAATTGTTTATCACGGTACTGGTTTCGATACTATTTACATTTAGATATGACTGTTTATGACCTGGTCAGCCAAATATGGCCCAGCTTTGATTCGAGAACTAATGAGGAAATATTTATCAGTGCTTGCATATGAGTGCTTGCAGAGCCTTCAAGGAAGTCTGACGCATTCAAGGATTGGCTTTCAGTGGCGAATTAACAGTCAGGAAGTCAGTGTTGGATTGTCATATATGTCTTTATCAGTTAGAAAGTTAGTGTCAGGCTGTCATATATTTCTTTATATATCACTTTTATTTTGAGTCTTGGAAGAGGTATAAACCCACTGAGCCAGTATTACTTTGTGAGTAAAGGCATCTTCGCCACTGCGATTTTCAGTATCAGTGTTGGACTGGCACTCTTTTCGACTAGTATTATAATTACTTTGCATCACTATTTTGCGAATATTACCAACATGTGAGAGTGTCGCTTTGTCAACCAACATAATTTATTCGATTTTGCTAGAAACCCCCCTCCCCCAAGATGATTCTTCAATCACACAAGCCGAATATCATGGTCAGTGGTGTTTCTCGGGAGAAGGCCAAATTTATCAGGGGGCCCAACTGAGTTGACTGGAGTTGAAAAAGTCACAACACTGGCCAACCAAATGGAAACAAAGACGTCGTGTGTTTCGCTAAATAAGAAAAGCAGGAGCACCCTCTTCTATTGTAAAAAGTGTGATTTTGCTCTGTGTGAAGTGGACTGTTTCGACAAGTGCCATGCGTGTCAGTGTGACTATCACAGTGAAGTGACTGTGAACTGAAACTGTGAAGTGACGCAGTTCAAACTCGCCTACAGTAATATTATTGTATATAGAGTGATTATATTTACAATATCACCAAGTCTCAAAGCTGAATATCACGGTCAGTGGCGTTTCTCAGGGGAGGCCAAGGTTACCTGGGGCCCAACTGAGTCGACTGGAAGCAGAGGATATTGTTGTGATTTGTCACCAGGCAACGACTGGTGAAGACACATCAGTCTGAGAAGACTTAGTACATGCTGTAGAGAACTGCAGTGTGTGTAAATTTGTGGTAGCACCACAGTTATTTGTAGTTATATTCTGAAAGTGTACAATAAATCTGATCATCAGTCCAAAACCCATCTATAGTCACTCAGTCACGTGGAAATATATATATATATATATATATATATATATATATATATATTGTCATGTGGAAAAAAATGACCACAAGATTTTGATGGATTTATGTATTTTCAGTCCCCAATAATTATAGAAAAGTGGTCTTTGGAATGCCATCTGCCTCCATGTATGCATCACTGGATGGATGTGTACCTTGGTAGTATCAAAACAGCTGGCAGATTTTGTTTATACTTTGTACTACAGACTCTACCCATCACATGTCCGTGTCTGGTGAAGCTCAACATTCTAGATTAAAAAATAAGGGCCCTTTAAATTAGCCTCAAAATATAAAATGGAAATTCTCTAAAAAAAACAGCTGTAACAATTTGATTAAATTTCACTAACTTCTAATCCTTCCAGCTGCACTGTGGTCCTGGGGTTCACTCAGCCTCTAACAGAAATGAGTACTAGGAATTAAATACATAATTTTCCTGGGGAGTAAAGCACGTCCGGCGCATAAGGCTGACAACCTTGCCACCATCTTTAAGCCGATTGTCTAGATAATGTGGGACCCTCAACGTCTCACAACCCTATGGGCCTTCATGGCCTGTTACAGGTACAGCTTTACTTTTTATGGACACCATACCCCTAAACACAACTGCATACATGGTATGTTCACAAAGATAATGGTTGTGTAATCTAGGGAAAGAAATGTGAATTGTTGACTTTGTGTAAACTGGCATTACCAGTCAAACAGACTTCAGTGCTGTTCAGCATTCAGTTAATCAACAATGACCTAACACAAAAGAAACAATTCTGATTCCAAGGTACCATAGTCAAGGTCAACAGCATTTGAGAAAGTATGTGCAATGTCTTTGCACAAAATTTTACCTACATTACTATGCACTTTATCTTACTAGACATTCCTCTACAGTGATACCAATATCAGAAACAACATGATATTACTACTATGTGGAATCTGTTTCTGCAAGATGGCTGTTTTAATGTTTATTGCCTCCCAAATACATGAAGAGAGCATGGCACAAACAGGATCTACATTATGAGATTTCAGGTTCTCATATCAGTGCCTATGAAGATTACTGACCTCTAGGCTGTCATGTGATGTAATCGGGAGATGTGTACTCACATTCTGGAGGAATGTGCTACCTCCATCTTCAGTGTAGGAGAGTAAGCTGAACTAAATGCAGCCAGTGCCAGTATACTTAGCTTATTTTTCTATCCTGAAGATGGAGGAAGCATATTCCTCTGAAATGCTGGTAAACATCTACCAGACTACGTGGTGTCGCACAAATGGAGAGAGTAACCTTCAGGATCTATATTAACAACTAATGAAAGTGGACGTTTGAAATCTTCTATGTCTCCTATCTTGCTCCAACCCTTACAAAAATGAATGACAACAATTCAAAACTGGCAACATAATATTGCAGCTACAGGAATCAATATAATTAAATTTTTTTTTCTCTTAAATCCTGGTGTCAGAACACAATTTACAGTGCATACATCTATACTCTCAAAAGGGACTCACTCATGTAAGACAACCAACTTATAATACCTATGAAGAGTTCTATATTCTAGGATATAATAACATGCTGTGCATACATATCAAACAAAACTACTGTACCTTAAGATATGCCTCTTCAGCCTCTTTAAACATTTTTAAGTGGTTGAGTGTTCGACCAACGTTGATGTGTGCTCCAATATCATCTTCCTGAACACTACAAGAAACAAAACCATAATCACTGTAACAGATGAATATCTGTGGTAGTTATTTAGTGAAGTTAACATAGATGTATTAATCTTTGATGAAATATACAGAAAATACTGCATATTACAGTAATGTATTCAAGCTCAACAGTGTTCTTTCTACATCGAGAAGAACCACTGATAGACTAACATGAAGTGACAAGACAAAATGAAAGACATGCGTACATAATATGTTTGCTGTCCACGAACAATAATTTTTCTCATGACATGAAAAGGGATAACTTAATCAGTAATATGACTAGCTACTGAAAGGATTATGAGGGTTTGATTGATAGCAGGAATGAAGAATTTTTTCTTTAACATCACGCCCAGACTGACTGTGACTCCTCCCCCCCCCGCTCCACAGCATTCTATCCAATGGGTATCAGAGGCTGTTTCCTAAGGGGTAGAGCAAATTGAGTATAAAGCTAGCTACAGTGACATGGGCACTGGAAGACTAAAGAATTTAACCTGAGTGTATTTCTGTTTAACGTTTCACTTACGAAACACACTAGTTATGTTTTTGGAACACTTATCAGATATGGGAGAGAGAGACTGTTCTTGCTGAGTTACAGTAAGATGCAACAAGATCAATGCTGGCCTTGCATGCAAACTGCTTGGAATGCAGTGGCAGAAAAATCCCCTCCTGTGTTACTGGCCTTAGTGAAGTCACATGGTGCATGTCAATCACTTGCAGCTGTGCATCAGCCAACTGGTAGTACGTGTTTTAGACTGAACCACTTACGACTGGTAACAGGGAAAGAAGTCCATTGCCTCAAATAAGAAACAATGAGAACTGAACTAAAAAATTTAATAACTGAATATATTTTACATCTGTCAACACAACAGCGCCTAAGCAGAAACAATGCACCTGACGATGACCCAATAACGGTCAAAATATGTCATGTTTTTAAGATTTTAAGACTGTAATGTAAATAATCTATCTTTGTATATTTTCATATGAAATTATGTCAATGGATGTAAAGAAATACTCAATGTACATGACACACAACAGGATACAACACATAAAGATTGTAGAAAATGTATTCACTGGGTAAACGTTGGTAATCAGGACTTGAAAAATAAAGTGCAAATTCAGGGAAAGCATGAAGTTGAGGAAACATAAAATCAGTTAAAGCTTAACATTACTGTTATGGGCATTTGGCCAGGACCATGCAAAAAATGTGTAAATAAGGCGAAAGATGTAAAATCCAGGATCATAAAATTGAAGATTCACTGCATTCATTCCATCTAGTGTCAAGGTGTATGCCCCTATAAGCCTTCACGTTTTGATGCTTAAGTACAGAAGTAACTTTACATTATCTCTATACACAACATACAGATGTACAAAATTAAAGAGCACCTGAATGTTCACCAACAGTTCTGAAAAATGGATCTGTTAAAATTCAATTTCTTTACAATGAAAACAGCAAGATGCGTGTCCTGCAAAAAAGACTGACATGTAAAATTTATATTTGCATGGACATAATACTTATCTTCAGCTCTGCAGAAATAAAGAACATCTAATATGCAAAATCTAATCACTTTGTCTTTTACAGAACATTTACTTATTCTCAGTCAAGCCAAGTCAGGGTCACTGTCGCTACAGCGTATTAAATTCAATGTTTTGAAAGCATAACAACGGTAAGAATGTAACTGATTCTAACCTGATAGCTTTCTGGAAGTACTGTAATGCCTCCTGAAAGCGTCCCTGACTTTCAAGGGCATGGCCAACATTATTGAAGAGTTTTGCATTGCGATGATTCACTTTCAGTCCTGCCATGAAGATAGTGTACTCAGACTCCCAGTCAAAGTTGCGTGTGTAAGTCTTACAACCATGGATTAACAGTAGGAAGCCTACTGAAAGCCATGCTAATTTCTTAAACCTGAAACAGTAAGTTGTACTGCAATAAACAGGATCAGAAAAGTACATGCACAGTGAAGTGGCCTCTGTAGTCTAGGGGTAATGTTCCCACCTCATGACTCAAGGTACGCGGGTTCAAAAACCGGGCGGAGGTTGTGGAATTTTTAAGGGCGGAAAAATTCAGGGAACAAGTCCTCCGGGAGGGACTTCAAGCTGTGGGTCCCGTGTCGTAGATTTACGGTACGTAAAAGAACCTCATGTCTCTAAGAGGCCCCTGAGCTAAATTAGGCCAAACATTTCCTGCCCAAAGTAGTTTCCAATGCCTCCGGTAGATGAGGAAAGTATCAGGTACCACTGCCAGAGGAGGGGGGACCTCTCTGACAGAAAGGGACTAAGTATTAGATACCACTGCCAAGTAGAGGGTAGAAACCTTGCTGGCAGAAAGGGGCTAATAGCGAGCACCAGTACCGGTAGGGGATGGAGACTGTAGAAATTAAAAGGGGGACGTACAATAGACTATCAGTTGCGGTGCATGGGGAAACCCACCCCCTCAATACTGAATCACTGAATCACATGAACAGTGATACTACAGCCATTCTTTACTCTAATGTCAAATTCTGCTTGTCTTAAATACACAATATATACTTACCAGATATAAAGGCTTCATTTAAATCAGTTCTTATATTGTTTCATGATATCTTATATCAATTAAGTTTTAACAAGAGTATATTATCAAATAACTTTATTATACAAAGAGCAATTAAACAACTTAATGTACTACTGTTGTCTTTATTTTGTTTTTGTAGTCTAATGCAGTAACAAATTTACCATATTAATTAACATGCAAAAAGGCACATTTCTCACAGATGACACAGTTAAAAAGTATATAATATTAAATATTTAACTAAGTTATATGACTTCAATGTAAAATATTTTCCATGGTGGTGGTGACCACTTAGATAATGAGTTAAAGTGACAACTCTAGCAAGTGGTAACCAAAATGTTTCAACATTATAATTTTATGAAAGATCTCAAATTAAAAAATTTACCCAAATTTATGATATAGTGGTATGGTACACATTAAGCATGTCCAAGTCTCAGATTCTGAGATCCTATTGAGGAAAGATATATCTCAACCTTAATATGAATCCTCGTTTTTCAGTCTTGAATTTTGAGGATTTTCGGATAACAGTAGCACAGAACTACCCAATCTGTCTGAATCATAACGGTTGGCAATGCTACCCTGCACTCCCCCTGGGATGCATGGAAAAGATACAAAAGATGTGGCCTTGGAACTGACTTTTTATAAATAAAATGATATATGAAAATTTTTCATTTGAAAAGGATCTGATATTAACAGCAAAAGTAGCACACTTTTGTACAATGCAAAAATGTGCCTAATGCTGTAGACTGTGATTATACTGGGGGGAAACCCCAATCTACAAGCACTAATTCTCATTCTTTCTTCAATTCTTGAAACTCCTCCAAATTCTTAGCTTCAACTGAAAAATATGATTCTTAGACATGCCCACTACATGTGTGTTACACATGAAGGAGATTATGATTTCTCTGAAAAAACTGAAAAATGAAGAGAGACATCAAGAAGGTGGAAAGACGAAATGAGGAAAGATATATAAAATGTGGGAAACAGCAGCCACATACTGTCTTCCAACAAACAGAAGGAAAGACAATTACCAAAGAACAATGAATTCTACTGAGAGATGAACTGGAAAGGATTTAGAAAGAAGCAATCTTGGTGTAACTGAGATATAATCCTGGGAATTTGCCTGGAGAGACAGAGGAAAACCACAAAAGACCTCAGTCAGGATAGCTGGTGTCTCAGGCTCAGATTTCAACTGAGCACTTCCCAAATTCAAGTCTAGTGTGTTGCTGCTGTACTAACTTGATCAACAGGGATGGGGAAACATGGAGAAGATTCATCATACACAGAGACATGTGTATGGTTTGTACTGATGAACAGATGGATACATACTCACTCTTTTAGTTTGTATAAAATTTCTAAGTTCATATTATACAGAAGTTACAAAGAAAGACTATGCTATGTGAACAAAAGACAGCTTACCTCTTCTGAGCCATAAGGCTCCAACCATAGGCAACTAGCATGCACAAACCCATGGAAGGGATATAAAGAATCCTTTCTGCAACTACAAAGCCCACTGGGAAGAACAAGTTGGAGGCTGGCAAAAATGGTAGTATCAGGAATACGAGACTCTGAAAACAACATTTTGAATATAGATTATAAGCAGTCTATTATAAATTTATAGGTTTAAAATATCTGAAAGAAAAACAGCCTGTAACTATATCCAAAAATAGATTTATAGAATCTTAATTCATTAGTGATGGTCATGAAGGGTCACAACATGAGAGCAATGTGACATATAAATCAATTTGGCGTTTGTTTAAAACAAAATTAAGTGACAACACAGCCTGTAAATTTTGTGAATCCTAGAAAACACAAAGGAACATGCGAAACAATGGAGTTCCTGGTAGAACATACAAAGCCTATGAGTACTATCCTTTACAGATTACTAGCCTTGCAAATTTTGTGTTTTCAATATCTTATTTAGAGACTGTAAATTTATATTCCAGAATACCAATTTAGCTGATGGGAACAGTGTTCTTGTGCAGATGGTTTAACCTTTAATGGGTGAATGTCACATATATATGACACAAGCAGCAACCCGAGTTGGCTGAATGACACATATATGTGATACAGGACACATGCTCTCTTTGGGAGTGCTGACAGTTTGACCTTGGGTTTGAAACCAAAACATACCTATGTGAGGTCATGTCAGTGGTTCATTCCTTAGCTCTGAACAAAGAAATCGTTTATCATGGTACTGGTTTTGATACTATTTATGTTTAGATATGACTGTTTATGACCTGGTCAGCCAAATATAGCCCAGCTTTGTTTCGAGAACTGATGAGGAAATACGAGTATTCTTCTGTGCTTGCATGTGAGTGCTTCTAGAGCCTTCAAGGAAGTGTGACACATGCAAGGACTGGTTTTCAGTGGCGAATTAACAGTCAGGAAGTCAGTGTTGGATTGTCTAATATTTCTTTATGAGTTAAAAAGTCAGTGTCAAACTGTTATATATTTTTTTATATATCACTTTTATTTTGCGTCTTGGAAGAGGTATAAACCCACTGACCTAGTATTACTTTGTGAGTAAAAGGCATCTTTGCCACTTCAACTTTCGGTATCAGTGTTGGACTGGCACTCTTTTCAACTAGTATTATAATTACTTTGCATCACTATTTTGCGAGTATTACCAACATGTGAGAGTGTCGCTTTGTCAATCAACATAATTTATTTGATTTTGCTAGAAACCCCCCTCCCCCATGATGATTCTTCAATCGCACAAACCGAATATCACAGTCAGTGGCGTTTCTTGGGGGAAGGTTATCAGGGGGCCCAACTGAGTTGACTGGAGTTGAAACATTCACAACACTGGTCAACCAAAGGGAAACAAAGACGTTGGCATGTGTTTCGCTAAATAAGAAAAGCAGGAGGATGCTCTTCTATTGTACGAGTAAAAAGGGTGGTGTCACTTTGTGTGAGGTGGACTGCTTCGAGAAGTGCCACACGCGCGTCAGTGTGATGCAGTGTGAAGTGATGCAGTTCAAACTCCTGTACAGTCTGAACAAAATATTATTGTATATAGTGTGACTATATTTACAATATCACCATGATTCAAGGTAGAAGAAAAAACAACGGGTAAGTGCTTTGGAATTTTGTAACATATATATAAAAGATTTTTTGCATTTCATGACAAAATAATCACAGTTAATTTTCGTTTATAAAAATTGCTCTTTTGAGTATATGTAGGAAGTTTTATTGTCTTTCAGACTGTTTTCAGTTCATATTTCTATGTTGCATACAACGGAAAATATGTATTTCTTTCTGAAAGTTTGCAATGTTAATTAATTAGGGCGATTTAAATACCGGCCACAGAGGGGTCCCGGCAATTTAAAAGTCTGTACGTTAAAGGTTAAGACTGGATCCTGAGTTAAACTTTTATTGCTTGAAATTGTAAATATTGTGGCATAGAGACCCGTTGCTAAGCTGTGACTCTTTAAACAGTGACTGTTGTTATGCAACAGCATGGTAAACATGTTCCTGTTGCTAGGCAGCGGATTCTTAATAGTGCAACACTTGAACTACAACAATGAATGAGCTGTTTTCTACATGATCCGTGCCAAGATATTATAAGCAAGATGAGGTTTTGACCTTAGAGAGTCAGTTCTGCAAGGGGGGCTGTGAAGCTGAAGAATTCACTGTTAGAAGCCGCTGCCAGGGAACAGCTGGTGAACATGCAGCGGACTGGAAAGGGCTTGGCGGGTTCTGTGGTGATTTGTGAATTGTGGACATTAGTGGCGGCACTGTAAGTGCTTGTAGTTCCCAAGTCGTGTGTTAAAGTGGTCAATAAATCCAATTGCTAATCCAAACCCTGTTTATAGTCATGCATACACATGACAGTATGTTGGTCGTTGTCATCATCATCATCATCATCATCATGGTTTTGGGAAGCTCTTAATCTTAAGAACAGATTTTATCAACATTAATTTTATTACACATAATTTAAAAATTTCACATCTTCTCCATACTTGTAATTACTGACTTATACACAGAATTTCATAACTAATTTCACTTGCTTATTTGAAATGGTTCATAAGAAATCATCATAAAACTAAAAGCTAAAGGCAAACTTAGTGCAGCCATTTTAATAATATCCATTTACTTCAGAAATCTATATTAGTGTCACTCACCTCACTTGTTTGTGCAGCCAGCAAATTAATACTCACTGTAGGAAATTATGAATTATGCAATTGGGGTGGTCCCCATTGGTTTAATGTTCATACTAAATTCTGTGAAAATCTATCATCTGGGGAAAGCAGGCTCACAAAATAAATATCATTTCCTCAATGAATCTTTATCGATTACTAAACACAGCACTCAAATACAGATTTTTTTAAAGAGAACACGGANTATATATATATATAATCTGGTCGATTTTAAGAAACTTATGAGAAGTGTAGCTTACATATACTGATTGTATAAATAACGTTAAAAACAAATTTAGGAAGATCAGGATAGTCTGAAACAAGTGACATAACAAAGAGTCCTCTTACCACAAGAACCTGATGTCTTCTTGTTTTGCCAAAGTAATAAGAAGGGAGAAAAGATAATAACACTAACAGAGGCTGAAATTAGGGAGGGGGGAGAGGAAGGGCATAAGAGTGAAAAAATATTCTATCCTGAAGATGGGTGATCTTCCAGGCTACACGATGTCACATCCCAGAAGAAAGCAATTTTCAGTCACCAGTGTGAGAACCTCAAATATCATATTCTCCTGACTTTGTCAGTCAGTAAGACTTACGGCTTAGCTTTATGGATTTTCATAATTTGGAAGAGGCTTGCATGCTCATCAAAGATTGGGGTAGGGGATGGGGGCAGTAAAACAGAACCTCAAGCATGATCATTAAAAGAAACCGTTCAGGATTTGAATCTATATATATCTCAACTGTCTAATGATAATTCACCATAATTTAAACAGACGCTGCAAAAGTAACAATGATACCCTAGCTGTTCTGTTATCCTAACAAAGACAACCACAGCAGGCAGTCCAGTGGCATTCTTAACATTTTCATTTGTATCATGTGACTCTATGTACGAGTAGTATTACTGAAACTTGATATTCTTCCCAAAATACTCATGGAGCTGAGCCCTTCTGGAGGAGCCGCCAATTCTGCAGCTACTCAAGAATTTCCCAGCATTTTATGGAACCTGAAGGTTCATTACCATGTTCACAAGAGCCCTCCACTGGTCCCTATCCTGAGCCAGATCAACCCAATCCATAACATCCCATCCTATCTCTCTAAGATCCATTTTAATATTGTCCACCCACCTACACTTCTTACTCTGAAATACCAAAAAGCATTATGGATACACCCAAAAATTACTTACTTGACACATTCATTTTGTGCTTACCATGATAATAACTGTTGCTTGTTGCCTGTTCTCTGTAACAACAGCCATATATGTCAGAAGTAAGAGAATGGCATACGACAGAAATGTTGCTATATTCCGTGTGTCAATAAATGATTCGACCAGCGGCACAGTTCCCATTGTCCAGTCACAGCATAGATCACAAGGAAAAAGGAGGAGCCACAAGTTAACACTAATTAAGTAGTTATATGACAACTGTCGACTAGGTGTTGGTGCTACTGATGCTGGATTGTCAAACCTGTAAAGAAAACAGGGAAATCAAAGTATACAGAATGATATAACAAGTATTTTCAATAGAAAACAACTAACCTCTAAGTTCTCCATTTAAATTCTTTGATAATATATATATGTTTGTTACACTTAACCCTCTGCTTCCAAGCGTAGGGCTACAGGTTATGCAAAAACTGCGCTGTCAGAGTTAAATAATATTTGCAAGAAAAACCCTTTGTCCCTAGGTATGGAAACAAGTCTTGTAAGTCAAATATTCTGTACAACAGTACCATCTCAAGACATACCCAAGTTACACACAACAGAAAATCAGTCCCTAAACATTCTACATGAATATTGTCATTTGTATCGGGGATGTCAGTTGCATGCAACATTATTAAGAGTCAGTACGCAGCAGAAATTTAAGTCCGGCAGAGGGTGATGTGCACTTACGTGCACAGGTTTTCTTCACAGTGAAAAGTTAACTTTGTAAGAAGTTACCATCACACTTCGACAGAGCTGGCAGACAGCACAAAACTACTGCCATATATGACAATCAAAAAAATTACACCCAAGGCACAGGTGCCCATGGGACTAATGATGGGGTGTCACATTAATGGATGGGGGGGGGGCTACAAGGTGTCTGGAACAGGTGACCATGAATGTTGTTCTGAAGGAGGGGAATGCTTGTGATGTATGCATTTAAAGCATGTTTAACACTGGATGTCAGATCTGTGATCCACACAATGAATACTGAATTTGTTGTCATAACAAGAGTGAGGGCTAACCTCATAACTACACATTCTAGTGAAAGCCTTTTAAGGACTATCTGAAATGACTGTACTCTGAATGGCTCTTGTCAGGGCACCGTGAAGCCCATTGTAGAACTGCTCTGCAGGTGGATGGAGCTCTCCAGAAGCGATAGTCAAAGGATTTAAAAAGTGCTATATATATATATATATATATGATGAAATGGATGGGAGGGAGGACAAGGAAAAAGTTGGGAATGCTGGCAGTGAATGTGGGACAGAAGATGGGAATTGTGAAGACACTAAAACTGAGACAGATGATAGGAATGGTGAACAGAATGAGATTAGTAAAGTCAAAGAAAAGGTTCTTTTTTTTTACATGTCTGTAGCAGGAGTATGAAATTAACTCCTAAAAGTACTTTTTCAGTGAAGACGCATTTCCTACTGCAGGGTTATCTTGCATTCGGAATCATCTTTGCTCAGGTAAATGTGGGAGTACACTTTAGCATACTGTGAAAAAGTTCTAGTGTTATAAATTATTACAGTGAAAACAACTGGTCTATTAGAGAAAAAGCTTCTTGCTTTGATTCTCAAATCTTTCCAAATTCTCACCTTGAACTGAAAAAGTCATTAGCACACATGCCTACAAAATGTTTTCATTAATCTACTGATTAATGTTACAATAAATAACAAGATTATTTAACAATGCTCTATCAACTGCAGTAGTTATTTAGAATTTCATGGTATGAATGTATGATGATATTCAGTGAACTTGCAAGGATTAGAGAGTAAGCTGTTGTGGGCCAGATTTGAACTAGGCACCCGCAAGTACAAGTCAGCTGCATTAACATTTCTGATTAATGTCAAACAATTACTACAGTGAAACCTTGCTCTAACGTTTGTGAAGGGGACAAGCATTTTTTGTACCTTAAATGGGGGTTCTGGAAAACAGAGCCTAAAATTACTAATGTGCCTCACACCAACTTTCCTCTTCAAGAACTGAAGCTGTTTGTAGAATTTTGTTACATGATGAGAAAGGCACCAAGAAACACTTCACAATTTCATTTTGCAATATAGTTGCATTCCTTTCTATCTCCTGAATAATTTTTACTTTCTTGTTTATTGTTAACTTCTTTACTTTCAAAGTCATAGCCATGCACTACTTCAAAATCACTTCTCAAAAAACTATGGCACTCAAATGCAACACAAAAAAACAGCAACCATTTCAAATGAGTCAGAGAATGAACAAAGGATTTGCAGTCACACTGCATTGCATGCCATGCAAATGCTGAGCACGAACTACAGACAGGTGGCCACATGAGTCAGAACATGCAAAAACTTCCCTTCAGTGCTAAAACAAGATCTGAAACATGCACAGGAATCAAAGTTTTGTATGAAAAATGCTTGCAGATCCTTAAATTGAGAAATGTCAAATATAGAAAAGTAATATATTAGTCACATGGTGGATTTGATGGGACCATAAGTGCAGAAAAACAGAAATTTGGGACCTTTTAATTGGGGTTTCATTGTGTTAACAGTATTGATCTTATGACAGCCCTAGTAACTGTAACCATATCCTGGGTCTGGTCAAGTGGGATTCTGTGGTGGACGGAGTGGCACTGGGGCAGGTTTTCTCCGAGTACTTTGGTTTCCCCTGCCAATTTTCATTCCACCAACTGCTCCACAGTCACCCTCACCTATCATCTGGAGCTGGTACAATAGGCCGGAAGTGGCCACAGTACAAGGGACCTAGTCCCACCCCACTAGCAATAAAAAAACTGTAACCATCATTATACATGTGTGAAATTCATAGAGGTTTTATTATATACAAACAACAATTGTTAAGTTTAATTTAGTAATATTGTATTACAGTGTCATATTGTGTGTGAATTGTTTATTATATGATATATCAACACAATTCCTGTATATACTGAATAGATTTATACGGTTTTCACTTTATGACAAGTTTCATTCATTTAGGCTGTCATCAGGTAAGTCATTTTATAATAACACTCTACCTTTTCTGCTATTATCCCCCTACACTGAACAATTTTTTACGTTTTTAAGGGGGAAAGTCATATTGTCATTTATAGTATTATTGTCAGCTGTAGTTCATATAGGGGCATAAAATATATTAGGTTAATATTAATTTTAAATTAAGTTGACACAAAACAAAATAAAATAGATTATTATTATTATTATTATTAGTGATAGGAACCTGGAATGTTAAGACTTTCCTGAAACCTGGGAAAACGTAAGGGAAGACCTAAAGGGTTTAGGAATTTATAACTGGATAACTCACGCACAGGACAGAAGTAGTTGGAAGGAAATTGTTGAGCAGGCCAAATTGTTCAAGAAATGAAGCTGTTGAGCCTTATGAAGAAGAAGATAATTATTATTGCTATCAATTAAAATGTCTTGTGTTTTTAAATGTCACTGGCTTCCTGGTCACTCACAAGCAGTATTTCGTACTACAGTATAACTCCGTATGTCCGTACATTTATCTATTATAACAATTCTAGCAGCTGTTACGTCTGTTGGATCAGAGTAGAACAAGGTCTTCACTTGTGTTATTGTGTACTGGTTTCAAAACGTGTGCACATTTTTTTGTGCGTATTCATTTCCTTGCATAGTAAAACTTGTTGTGGATGGTGATGTCTCTTTGATGATTGAGCATCCAAGCCAGCATATAATCACAAGCAAAGACCTCATTCTACTGTGATCCAACAATAACAGCTGCCAAAATTTTAGTAACACATAAATGTGCTGTCATACAAAGTTATACTGTAATGTGAAATATGGACCACTTGTGAGCAACCAGGAAGCAAACAACATTTAAAAGCTAGAATAAGAGAAATTTTAATTTATAACAATAATAATTATCTATTTTATTTTGCTTTAACTTAATTTATTTTATGCCTGTATATGAACTACAGCTGACATTAATACTATAGATGACATATATGACCTGCCCCCTAAAAAACTGTAAAACACTGGTCAATGAAGAGGAACAGCAGCAGAAAAAGTACAGTGTTAATGTAAAATGACTTACCTGATGATGGCCTAAATGACTGAAGCATGCTGTAAAGTGGAAACAGTAAAAATCTATTCAATTTATACAGGAACCGTGTTGATGAAATATATAATAAAAAGTAAGTTTATCTTAATTACCTTGTGAATACAGGTAACTTTGAACCCATGATCTGTAACCTCATCATAAGAAGACAAAGAGTCGTTGCTCCTAGAACACCAAGCCGCTTGGTTGCATCCGATGTCCAAGATGGATGTGAGGACTCCTTCCTACTCACTGTTGACCGTAACATGTAGGGCAAGTCACTCAGACGAAGCTGCAATTAATTCCAGTTCCAGTAAGAAACTCGAAGATGGCTGATCAATGATGCTTCACACCTTCATTATGGGGAAAATAAGAGTACAATGGTGTTTGACACAATACACAACAGAGAAATACTGGAACCAACAAAAATATGAAATACTTATATATATATAAAACATATGATTGTCTGGCCTTAGGAGGTCATATGTACCAGCACAGATCACAAAAATCGAAACAGAAACATGTAGGACATATAAATGTTTTCAGATTATAGTGATTTATGAGATAAAAAAAGAGTTGTTTATATTTTTTCTATTAATTACTACAAGATGTACTTAATGGCATCTCAAATGGAGAAAGTGAAGAACCTGCAGACATTTTAAAACATTTGACAACTGAACTGAAACTGTAGAAATTGAACAGAATAATTCTGCTGAACATGGACCTCTCCTACTTTTCTTGAAAACATAAGAAAACGAAGTATATTACTCAATTCATTATAAAACAAAGAGTAATACATTTACCTTCTGAGCAACTATCAGCTCATAAATAGCACAAATACCCGTGACTGTGATCCCTTGCTCCTTACACAGCATTGCCGTGGCAACTGAGATCATGGACAAGACCAGATGCCGCCAGCCTGCAGACCATATAAATAAAATGTAAGACTGCTTTCTTCATATGAAGAAAAGATGCCAATTACGCTACTAAGTTACAAATGCTGGATATACAACAAATTCCACTTTTATCAACAGCAGCAACAGTGTTTAAGTACTGTGCCCTGATCTAAAACCTAGTGATTACCATCTCTTTCCAGTGTTGAGGGAATACCATGGAGGTCATAGGTTTAAAGGTGACGATGTGGATGAGCAAAATGGACATGCCTATGATTAAAATAAGATATCTATTTCTGTGTTGTCAGTGCTCAGGAAAATATCTGGACCTTAAGAGGGTTGAAATGGAGAAAGAATTATAGTTATAATAACTAGGAATTTCAAGAATTATGTCACTACTTTAAAGTGTAGGGTAATTATCAAACAGGTTAATGATAGGGTGGACTGGAGAAACAAGATATACAAACTAAATTTTACTGGAGAATCCTCTTGAAAAGTGGCCTTTGAAAGGACAAAATGATGGTGGAATACTAATAATGTAGACTACAGAGGATATGAACTGAACTGCCTCAGGACTGTGTCCAGTGGTCGGACTTGATATAAGCGAAGATAAACTTCTAGGTTCTATTACCAGAGTTTGTCTGTCTACTGCGTTTATACCTGTGACATGTTTTCTCTTCGTAGATTTGGTGTACAAGATGAAGGCTGCAAGGAAAAACACGGAGGACAATGTTTCAGCTCTCCCAACCACACCTGTTACCTGCAACAGACAAAGTATCTTGGTATCCAAAGGAAATATTACTTACACACATAGGAGTCTCTGGAGATATTATTTAACAACTTTTAAATGTAGAGAATTTAACAAACAAAATCAGTTTTTAAAATCCACTTTTCATAAGCCTATTTGCTGAAGTGACTGCTCTCAATTTCATCTCAGTTGTCCTCTATTGCTGTAACAGCTGTAAGTTTGGCAATACAGTATATTCCTAATTATCTATGTACAAATTACCTGGTTTGTGGATTGGCCATATGCCCATTTTTGGTTTGTCTGCAACCATGCAGTGTTCCACTCAGTCCATCTATCTGTACACATGAAACAGCTCAGGAGTCACTATATGGATTTCTGTGAAATCTGATACTGGAGAATTTTAAGAAAAATTGTGATTTCATTTGAACTTGAATTTATATGGGACAAGGTTAATGGCCACTTTAAATGAAGAATTATAAGCATTTCTCTGTGTATCTCAAGTGCAACCTGCTCACACTGATTACAGCAAAAAGCATTTCAAACAAAAGTTGTTGAGAAAAATGAACCACAGACTGTATGCTCATGGTACCTTTTCTGTCCTCCAGTTTTTGAAGTAATGAAACAAATGGGACACTGTGTGACAAATTCTGAATTTCTATAAAATATTTTGCATTTTACGTGTTTTTTGATCATTTGTGTCTTTCTCCATTTATTAGCACAGATAATCAGGAATACACTGAAATCCAAAGAAAGCTGGATCACATTCTGTCCACAGTGTATTACCATCTACCATCTGTTTCATCAAAGAGCTGGTTGCATCATGGCACCTATGAAACGTGTTCTTTTTTACATGAATGTATTTCTGAATCCTGGAGGAAAAAGATTTGGATAACAGTTCTGGTGATTGTGATATTAATCTACAAAAATATACATGATCACTTAAGTGTTGAAAGTGAAAAAATTATTAAAAGAAATTCAGCACTGAAGGAATCATCATATCACCAGTTTAAATGTGAGAAGATTAATTCCTCTGTACCATTCTGTTGAGTGGAAAGTGAATGACACTGCAAAAAGGAGCAAGCAGAAAGTTACTTCACAAGGCACATAATCAGAGAACCAAAGGACCTACACTTCTTGTGAGTACTGAGCCCTGATCTGGTAGCTAACAATTATCATAATTTTTCTGCACTGAAGAGGATGACATCATTTGTTTCAAAGTGAAGACAGCATCAAAAGTGAAATGATGGCCAAGTGGGAAGGGCCTGGACATCTATGACAGAGAAAAGAAAGTGACATCCCATGGTAAAATCATCAACTACCTCAAGGTAGGCTTTTATTAGCATGTTCCATCTTGAAAACTATCCTACCATTACCTTCTCGGTCAGCCAACATTTCTTCGTCCCTCTGGTTGGCGAGTCTTAATATTTTGGGCCAGTGTTCAAGGGTCCAGTTTTGATATGATTACACTGGTTTTGTCGCCTTGGATTCTTTGTTCTAAAGCACATATTTGTAATGCACTGTGTATTGTCGTACTGCATACATGGACTATATGTGTACACCACATGATATAACACGTGTCTCAACTTTTGCAGGCACTGTTGAAAAGTAGTGGAATCAGAGCAGAATTGGCCTGCAGTCTGCAAACCAGGAATTGTAACAAGGAATCTCAAACTACATGCCTTGTAAACTTACTTTCATACACAATGAATGAGGAATGCAGAAGGAGTGGAGAGGGAGGAGAGCTGCAGAAGGAGAGAGAGAACAGGACAAAAGCAATGAAGCATAAAAAGCCTGTCATTAGAGAAAAGTTGACTTTTTTTTTTTGCACTATACAACAATTTTACTTACAGCTTCAGTATGGATTGGATGGACGGCAAACAGCATTGATGCTATAAAACTTGAGATTTCTGACAGAAACATGGAGCACATTCTAAAACAAAACAGAATGCATGTTAATTAGCAGAACTGAAATATAATTCATTAACTGACTGACTCCATGGCACAGGGTTCACCTGCTCAAAAAAATCCTTACTTTATGGGGTATGGACGCTGAGCTTTTGTTCTTCACGATTTCATCTATTACAAATACAGAGTATACACAAAATAATTGTGCGGTTTCAAAAGTTAATAAAAAGTTTATTTCTCAACTTACACAGGCACAACATAAGCTGTCAGATGCGGCAACTGTCCAAGTTTCTCATGTGCTAATTAGAAACTTCCAATGTGTGCACCTTTGGTCACACGACACACATCCACACGGTAATCAAACTCATCCCAGACCCAGTGTAGCATGTCCGCTGTAATGGCCTGCAGTGCATGCGTTATCCAATCACGAACTTCATGAATGGACGTGGGCAATAGCGGTACATAAACACTGTCTTTAACGAACCCCCAAAGAAAGACACGCACAGTCTAAGATCTGCCGAACGGGGTGACCAAGGGAGAAGGTTATCATCTCCATTTGCAGCAGAGTTTGATTACCACGTGGATGTGTGTCGTGTGATCCAGGGCACACATATTTTTTTTTTCCTTTGGCGTTACAGCCCTCATTTGGGCCTAGGCCTACCTCCATGAAACTCTCCATTTCACTTTGGTTCACCAGATCTTACACATTTGGTAGGACTCCTTGGGCAGGTGATCAGCTCGTCGCAAGGCCTCTACCTGTACACAAACACAGAAAAACGCACCCCAAACATCCATGCCCTGAGTGAGAAGGGTGCACACATTGGAGGTTTCTAATTAGCGCATGAGAAACTTGGACAGTTGCCGCATCTGACAGCGTATGTTGTGCCCGCGTAAGTTGAGAAATACATTTTTATTAACTTTTGAAACCACACCATTCTTCTGTGTATACCCTGTATAAACATGATAAAAACAAAAATACAGGCACCCATTCTTCAGACAGGACATACAAAATTTTCTTTGAAGAATTACTCACTGACATACATAATCACACAAAGTTTGTCCAGAAAGTAATGCAATTTGTTTTTTCCCGCTCCTCCTGGTCGCAGCGCATTCGGACCGGTTGGGTTAGTTTGGGGGGGGGGGGACTTTTAGCTTCACAACGTTTCCAAGTTAAGTCTGCTCTCAGCTTTGGAAGCGTCAGGATCGCTGTTTCCGTGAACCTCCTGTTAGTACCTGTGTCACAACGCGCAATGGAGAAATTATCGAACAACGTTATGCAATCAAGTTCTGTGCTAAACTGAACAAAAGTCTCGCTGACACCCACCAAATGATTCAGGAAGCCTGTGGGGACTCTGCTCTCTCCTATTCTCAAGTTTCCAGGTGGCTGAAGTTGTTTAAAAATGGCTGGGAAGAGGTGGAGAATGACCCCCACTCTGTACAGCCATCAACCAGCAAAACTGACAAAAATGTGTCTCGTGTTCATGATCTTTTAAATACCGATCATCGAATGAGTGTTCGGATGATAGCAGAGACTCTGAGTATTCCAAAAACCACTGTGCACGACATCGTTACCAACAATTTGCACATGCGGAAAGTGTGTGCCAAGATGGTCCCCAAATTGTTGACTGATGACCACGAAAACAGCCAAGTGACGATCGTGGGGGTGACAATGTCATTAACGGCAACGAAACATGGGCCTTTGAGTACGACCCGGAGAAGAAGCACCAAAGTTCCGAATGGCACCCCTCGGAGTCCCCTCTTCCCATGAAGGCAAGAATGAGCAAATCGAAAGTGAAAACCATGCTCATTGTCTTCTTCGACACCAAGGGTGTGGTCCACAAAGAATTCATACCCCAAGGGCAGACAGTCAACGCTACCTACTACGTGGAAGTGTTCGACAGATTAAGAAACAGGGTCGTCCAAACTCGAAAGGAGATCGCTGCTACCTGGCAGCTGCACCACAATAACGCTCCCAGCCACACTGCTCTGTGCATCCGGGTACTTGGCAACGTTGACCCAGCCCTCCTACAGTCCTGACCTGGCTCCAGCAGACTTCTTTTTGTTCCCGAGGATCAAGACCGCCCTGAAAGGAACCCGTTTTGGAACCACTGAAGCGATCCAAACCGCCGTGACAAAGGCTCTAAACGAGGTCCCCGTTGACACCTTCCAGGATGCGTACCACGTGTGGAAAAGTCCCCGTTGACACCTTCCAGGATGCGTACCATGTATGGAAAAGTCACTGGCAAAAGTGTGTGGATGCCCAAGGGGAGTACTTTGAAGAATTTTAAACATTTGTAACGATATCTTGAATATTACTTTCTGGACAAATCTTGTATATGGCAGTTTGCATTTATCCTCCCTAATACATTGTTTGTAACAGGGCTGCCCAACCTATGGTAAATGGGCCACATGTGTGCCAAGTGGTTTTGTGTGGACTGTTAAAAATTGAAAAATAAAATGTAGATTTTTATTGCAGTGGCACCTGACCTACCACCAACCACCAAAATTATGTATTATACATTCTCATTATCCTGACAATGTTTTATGGGAACGATATGGTCTAGTAGTCAGAGTTTCTGGCTACAGATCCAGAGGTCCTGCTTTCGATTTCCGGTGCTACCAGATTTTCTGAGAAGTAGTGTGTCTGGAACAGGGTCCACACAGACTCTTTTGAAGATAATTGAGGAGCTATTTCAAGGAAATAGCGGCTCCAGTCTATAAAACTGAACTTAACAGCAGTGGGGATTTGTTGTGCTGACAACATGACAACCTCTATCTGCAAAAGTTGGCACTAAACTTTGATGACGAGGGGGTCACTCGATCAGTAAGAAATGCTTTCACAGGATGGAAAAGTGAAACATGATGCTACATCAGTATATATATATATATATGTGCGTGTGTGTGTGTGTGTGTGTGAACTATTTCAAATATTTTATGTATTTTCTGATGCCATTACTAAAATATCAATCCAGTTATAAGAGTGGAAACCCTTGTGGGTTTGCATGGAGCCTAGAACCATATGTTGCTCATTCCTGAATTATATGATACATTATTATTAACCATTTCTATAACAAAATAAATAAAAAAACACCCTTTCTTTCATTTAAATGCTGTATGTTATAAATTTCAGCACTGAAAATCTACATACAGTTCACTAACAAATGTCTCTGATATCAGATACATTACATGAACAGGAGCCATATCTGGCTCATTCAAGGCATGGAAAATATTAATGGAGTAGCTTTTTTCTTCTTTATTGCTTCCATTTTCCTAAATTCTAAAGCAACTGCATTGTTTCAAAGTTAGTTAGTCTCACTGGAAATGCTTTATTTCCTACTTACCTGAAATACATGAGGCATACAATGCCATGTAACATCATATTCACTAAGTGATAACCCATAGGCTCCAACTGATGCAGGGAGTAATTCCAGCGAAATGTCAGAATACATAAAGGCCGATATGACTTGTGGCTCTGCTCCTGTAGAATAAAAACGAAAATTATTTTCACACCCCCTGCTTATAGAAGTCAAGGTAATCATATTCACTAGTGAATCCATGCAGAGCTCCAGAAATATGCTCACTTATTCACCACAGGAGAGTTAATGGAGACTGATGAGTACACTTTTAACATCATTATAAATGCATATTAATTTTTTAAACACATGTAGGACAGAGGAAGCAATTTAAAGAATGTAAAACATTAGTCTGCTGTTCTCAACATACAACAAGGTTTTCCATCTCCCATAAAATAGTAGATCATAATACTATGCTATATATAAGAGGCTAACATTAATTGTATTTATGCAGTCCTGATTCAGTGCAGGATGTTAGAATCATAACATGCAGTAGTACTGCTTGTTTACCTGCATACTTTTAATGGGGCACATGGTAGTGTAGTTGGTTGAGGTACTATGATATAAGCTGGAAGGTTTCAGGTTTGATTCCCAGTGAGGTCACTGGAATTTTCAATTGACCTAATCCTTTGTCTGCACTATGGCTCTGGGGCCAACTCAGCCTCTAACAGAAATCTACCTTGGGGTAAAGGGCAGCCAGTGCATAAGACTGACAACCTCACTGCCACCTGTGAGCTGACTGTCTGGACAGTGTATGAGCCTTGATGTCTCACAACCCTATGGACATCCAGAGCCTGTTACAGGGATAGCTCTATCTTTTTTTACCTACACTTTTAACACAATGTTACATCATGTTATGTTTCTTAAGCCATATATTATTCAATCCAACACTTCCTTATTTCAAGCTCTGGCAAAAATACTGGATGCATTATCAATAATGATCAGCAAATTCCAGAATTCTGAACTTCAGTACTTATTCTGAATTTTGGCTAACATATATAATACCAGTATTTATAACTGCTGTCATCAGTACTGACAACAGTCCTGAATTCTGGTTTCATATGTTCATATTCATTCATTCATTCATCAGTAATCTGTCAAGACGACAGGTCCACAGTCTCTTCCAAAACAGTTCCTCCACTTGATGCGATCTAGAGCTTTCTCCTTCAAATGAAATATCTCGCATACATGGTATCTCTGGTTTTGGAAAGAGACTATCCAGGAAAAGTGATAATGTGGTAGTTTTTCCATTTGCTTTCCACATCGCAGTACAACAGCCGTTCAAACCACTCTGGTCACGCCTGTTGCTATACGAACTTGAACCATCTCGAGCATTATTTACTCTGTGCTTCAAGTCGCTGCTGATGACGCTGCTTCCGGCATCAGTTTTTGGTGTCTCTCTTCGTCTGATGCCTACCCTTTGACCTGTCCAGCAAGGGAGGCCCTGCCAGTAGCTACGCTACCGCTGGTATAGCTCTCAGGGTCATTGGCATACTCAAACCCCCTCACCACGATTAGGTGGAGCCACCAACGAGGGGGATGTTCATATAGGCTACATAATAACTAAAACAGGACTAATTTTTAATCAAATTTTCTTATGGTGAAGAACAGTCAAGCATAAATGCATTATGTTTTTGGAATTCTATTATATTTAGATCCTTTTATTTATACAGTACCTTTGAAATATCATGGTACTCACCACAGGACCTACAAAGGCCATAGAAATTATGGTGAGGGGCGAAGAAAAAGAGATGACTACAAGTTTTTGTATATAATTATTATTTTGACTACTTCAAAAAGACATGAGCTGAGATAGCTCAGTTGGCATAGGCTAGTTTATGGGCTGGATGATCAGGGATTCGGGGTTAGATTTCTGGCAATGGGAACAGATTTTTCTTTCCTCACGCTGTCCATCCAGACCCCACCTCCTATCCAACACTGGATTCAGGAGGCTCCTTGCCTCCCCCCCACAGGGGCGTTGAAACTGGTGCATGGAGTTGGTCACTCCCCTCCACCTAGTGCCAATGTGAAAATAAGCACAGTGATTTCACTTTATAAGACTCAGTTTTCTGAGATTTTTTATTAACCTTCAAGCATAATTTTACCTTGCATTATCCGAATGTGTGATTTTGGACATGTCATTTCTTCATGGCAAGTGAGTGAGCATATTTCCGAAGCTGTGACCCACAGCAATGATAAAAATCAGCATGTAACAATAGCTAGGTACTTACCTCTGTGGCAATAAGTTGATACTTATGCAATCATTCAAGAAAATGTGCATCAGAAAATTTTTAAGCTAGTTACCAAGCAAGTTGGTTCAAGCAGTAAAACTTGTAATGTTACTGCCTGAACCTATATTAGGAAGGTGACTTCACTGAGTCTTGGCTGGGATTGCAAGCTACCTTGACTGAAGTTCATCATGGCTTTCCTATGTCCCTTCAAGCAAATGTCAACACAGCACTTCAAATTAGTCCATAACCACTTCCTTTCAAGCAGACACTATGTCAGGTTATATCTGTACTCCTTAATGCTCACTTCTAAAGGAACAGCTACCACAATCACATGAGATGTTGCAATCACACTGCTTCATCTGCTGGATATCTCTAACTGGTCCAGTTTTCATCCATGTCTCACATGTTGTACATTCAGTTTTCAAAATGGTCCAGACATTGGAACAGTTTTCAATTTGCCTGAATTTCTTTAAATACACTTAACATATGGGATAATGACAGTGCCCTTGTATGCTGTATCTGAAGATGGACAATTGCTTCCCAATGTCTTCATTACAGAGTCAACAAATTCTTTTTGGTATTCACTGATGATCAGATCATGTCTTATGTTCTTAATTTTGTTATCTGCACTTCAAATCTAACCACCCACATCATGTAAAATGGAGAGTCATTCATGCTTTGATTAGTAGAGCCAAGATCATATGTCAGGATCAGAAGGATTTCAACAACAAAATTTTGTGCAGATAAAGACACACAATATATATATATATATGCGGTAGCGTAGTTGGTTGAGGCACTAAGTTACAAGCTGGAAGGTCAGGGGTTCAAGTTCCGATGAGGCCATTGGATTTTTTTTCACTTGACCTAATCCTTCCAGCCGCACTATGGCTCTGGGGCCGACTCAGCCTCTTAACAAAAATGAGTACCAGGAATTAATTAAATAATTTTCCTGGGGAGTAAAGCATGACCGGCGCGTAAGGCTGCCAACCTTACCGCCATCTTTGAGCTGATTGTCTAGATAATGTGGAGCCTTCAACGTCTCACAACCCTATGGGTCTTCATGGTGTGGTACAGGGATAGCTTTACTTCTACATTATTATAACATCAGTAAGCCACTACACAAAAACAAAATATATGGATGATCATACTTTATGAATAGCAGTTCCCCAGAAATCGTTGAAAAAGATGTTCTTCAGTGGCATATGAGGTCTAAGATCTCTGTTGTCTTTGATGGCGCTGATGTCATCAAACACGAAGCCGCACTGCAGGCTGTTGTAGTAGCACACCATGCAGGTGATGAATATTACAGCAGATAGTACCAGTCGTGATGCCATTTTTCCTGCTGGTCACATAAAACACCAAAGTTTTCAGTTTCAGCATGTGTGAACTGATTATATAATGCATATTTAAACCGGAATTAAAAATTATATTACCAGTAAATGGGGTAAATGGAATAAGAGGCACACTATCAAACACAAAAAAGCTTTGTGTTAACCACAAATCCATCATTGTTTTGCAATGCCACAGTTCAGTAAGTCAACATCAACAAATTGGTGTTGTTCTAATATGAACAAACCTGCAAGTCAACTATATCGCTTGCTGGTGATAAAGACCACTCTAGCTACATAATCAAGTATGGCAAAAACCTATTTAAAGCTCTTGCCAGTTGCAGGGTGAATTTTAGGGTTTAACAGGATAAAACATGACATATTTTTACAAAGCCATATCAACTGCTGAGGCTATGCAATTCTGACTGGGACAAGAAAGGATGGTGATGAATCTTAAAACTGGAGGATATGGGAGAGCTGAAATGGCCTGTTTTAATATTGTCATGATTTCAGGGGGGGGGGGGACTTATAGATGGGTTCTGCATTATATGATTGGATTTACTGACAACTTATACACAGTAGTTAGAACTGCTGGCAATAGAGCACCATAAATGATCTACACACTTTACAGTTCATCGCTGCGCACACACTAGATTTCTCAGTCTCCACTAGTCATATCCTGGCAACGGATTCGTAACAGTCTCGCTGTAAATTTAAATCACACATGAAGTGTTCTTTCCACTGCTTACTTCCTTTCTTACCATTATTGTGAAACTGCAATTCCCAAGATTTGACTCAATTCAATTCCTCGTCTTCCAAGCTCCTATCCTAGTAGGCTAGCGTCTCGAAACTCAACTAACTTTTCGCAACTGAACTTTTCTATATAACCATTTCGCACGAACAACACAGAAAACACAGCCTCTCTATTACTGGTAAGGCGTTTACAGCGCCATTGCAGATAAAGAAATTACTAGACTGTTGTTTGTGAATTCGTTGCCGCGTTTACCGAGTCGTTGACCATCAATGAACATCCATTCTGACTTCACTATTCCGACTTTCGGGCGTCATGTCACACTGCTCCCTCCTTAAGGCTATTCGTCACGAATGGCCTATATGGGTACCGTCATTTCTTCTTTACCGAGGGCTGTGCTTGCACTGATCACTCCTTCCTTCCCGTTTCCCGGTTGTTCATGGTGTTTACTCTCCAACCGCTCCCGTTGCTCCCTCCTTAAGGCCGCTGGTCCCGAGCGGCTTCCTAATAAGGCGTCAGTCCGTCCACGTTTATCACCGTCATCCTGATTCTCCAGTCAGATGGGGAAAACTAGCTAGGAGTGGCCGGGTGCTCCTAAATTTCCGGCTCCTACTCTATGTGCAATTTTTTCCCCCGTTTCGGAGGGCGCCGACCCCTCCAGTGTTCTGACGCTCATTTTCCGCATCCTGACGGAAGATCCGGCTATTCGCTTCACGGTGTCCGACAGCCTTCTTGTAGATACGCCGGATATTCTCTTGCTTCCAAGACGTAGGTGCTGTCTTAGATCTCGGTTGCTTTTCCTTTTGTCGCATTCCGGATGCGCCCGACGCCTTCCGAACGTCCTTTTCTTGGTTCTTAATGCAACATTAACCCTGCCGGCAGCCAGTTTCTTTCGGCACCCACCATTGCCCTGGGTCCGTTTCTTCGGCTTTACACTGCGCCCTACGGCTAGATTCCGATCTCTGTGCCGTTTATTCAGTGCCCTGTCAGTTTGCACAGCAGGCATCTTCCTTAGGGCTAAGAACGTCGTACGTTACCATATTCTGCAGGAGTTTCAGAAGATGCCAAAATTCAATTACGCGCCACGCCAAGAGAAGGTACAGGGGAGTGACAATAGCTCCATGGATTCGTGTGGAGGCCTAGGTGTGTGATCAGTTTGACGCCTTGGCCGCATTTCCCGCGATGAAAGAGTCCCTGTTAATCACTGTGTACAGGGCCTGGTACGCCCTAAGCTAATTGGAAGTGGTGGAGGAACAGAAAAATCTCTGCCTCTGCACGGGAATCGGGCCCGCGGATTGAATATATTTCATGGTATATAGGATGAATGGATATGGCACTCAACCAGAAAACAAGCCTCCTAATGACAGATATGTATCTGCAATATGGCGGAACAGACTATCGATAATCATTTGTTTCTGTTAGAATCTAAAACGAATATTGATGGGGACGTGACAATACGTAATTAAAGAATAAGTAGTGGCTACTTTTAATATTCTCCTCAGCTCATATTCATTGAAGATTTCAATATTATGTAGTGTGGTAAAGGATATAGCGATCAAACGGTAACCAACAGAAGTAATGGACTTCACTTGGTTCAGAGGGATACCTCAGGTACGACCCGTGATTTTTACATTGTTATTATATTTATATAACCTTAATTATCAAGCTGTGTATAAGCGAACACACATACTTTAGTGCCTACAATGTGTAGAGAATACGTGTACACGTAATTCAGTTTAGTGTAGACCTATACGGGTTTCGTCAAGTCTCATTTTGGGTCAGTACAAGAAATTTACTTAAGTGTGTGGCTTCTCATTTATATAACACGGCTATTATATGCATTATTTTATAAACGTAAATTATTTATCTAAAATATACATCAGCGCTGATTCTGTTTTATATAATTCTAGGCTCTCATCTTATGCAAGTTGTTCATTCAAAAGCAATGGGCTATAAGCACATTCGATTCCATACCGGAATTTAGCAGTATAAGTGTTCAGTTTGCAATGCTACATGATGGCAATAATTCGCCCATACATTTCAAATTTAAATAAGAGAACTTCAGTCTCAGTGATGTTTTTGGTTTTCTTAATTTCCTCTGCACAAATTATGTGATAGTGTCTTAAAATAAGCCTTACACATATCCTTTCCGGTACATAGTTCATGATTCTCGTGTCACTGAAAGGTGTATATATATATATATATATATATATATATATATATATATATATATGT